GCTTGGTGCACACGGACCCCTTAGATAACATCAGACCAACGCTACACGTGAGATTGTTGTGGACTCCAGCATGTGGTCCTGAACCACGCCGGGGCCACGGAATTAACCCTGGACCGATTACCCTTGCCTGATATCTGCGACGAAAAAAAACCAGAGAGGACGTGGGCACAACCGTTTACTTCAGAGCTCAACCTCGTTGGTGTCGTGTGTGGGGTTTGCGCGTGTATATTTATACTTCTGATGTGTGAGTCATAGATGCGCTAACAACGCGAACTAGGTGTGAGGATAATCCAAGATAGATATCCGTGTTAATGATGGGGAGTTGAGGGGAAGAGGGGAACCCTCTGTCGGAGGTGGAGCGACACTCAGTTAACATGCGAGGTAGAATTCATTTTAAGGAACATCCTGGCCCAAAAATCATGCAGAAGAATGTGTATAACTATCGCGGGAGTCTGTGGTAGTGTGCAGGCTAAACCAGAGGCTTGTTTTGAGATGAGAAGACGTCTTGTACAGAGTTATCACTACAGACACGGGAGCAGGTTAAGTCCATGCATTGCTTGAATAACAGCGGCCAAATGCGGGCTAACCTTTATTATAGAAATGAACCCGCATTCCATTCTTCACAACCACTACCGACTGCCAGAGAGATGACATCTGAAGCGGTCAAGCGACAGCCACCCTGAAGGCCGGCGTGATTGGTGAAAACTTTTATCAACATGTTGCGAAATGATTACGACCAACTTTACGGTGCGCTTGCATTTACGCAAGCACAGAACGAGCACGCAGTTTCCGGTAAATAAAATCGGTAAATCCAGTCCATGCAGGTGGTCCAAATAGAGCAAACGAGGGTAATTTTAATCCGAAAATTGCACGAAAACAACCCAGGCACCTTAAAGCCACACGGCCAACTCGCTACCTGCTTCAAACCCGATTTCACAGGGCTGGATTTCGGCAGTTATTTCTGCTAAACTCACTTAGACCACCTCACGGTTGCATTTCACTCCGAGGCACAACCATTTATTCGCTTAAAAAAGGGGTGCTGAGCAGGACAGACATTTGTCAGTGATTCGGCAGAAGTAAGCAAAAACGACGAGGAAGGCACACACCCACACACAAGCTGGTTATACAAAAAGAAGGGAGAGATTGAAAAGAAAACGGGACGGAGCAAAGGCAGTTGGTAGAAAGCGGACGTGGCACAGCAGGAGAGGCGGAGTGGGCGTCGAGGTATGTGTGCAAGTTGTCAACTGGGACCTGGAACGTAGTCAGACGGTGGCTTCTAGTCTTTGGCAGATATGACCTCACCCACTTTGACGAGCACCGAACAGATGTGCATCAGTTCGTCGTCAGTTATGGAGTAGTTCAGAGAAAGACGGATGCTTGGAGCTGGGATTTTGCGGTGAGCACCCTCCACGTGGCTAGGCGACAGAGAGAGACAAGTTAGGTAAAAAAATCCTGCGCAAGAGTACTGCGAAGGAGGTAATAGCATTGCTAAAACTCACCGAGCTACGGTCAAGAGGACGGGTGTCGTGAGGAGCGCCTTGTCCGACACCTCAAGACTCTGCGGCAGCGAACTGGCCAGATCACAGGCCTCCTCCAGTCTGTCGATGGTGTTTTTGCCAACGGCGAGGCGGATATGTTTCACCGGGGAGTCAGGGTGTGTGGCTGGATCGAGGGTCCAGTACTGCGCCAGCGTCTTCTCCTGTAGACGGTCCTGTAGGAGGTGGGCGATGTGACGCAGACGTCTCTGGCGACTTCCGGACTCTTTTTGGAGGCACTCGACCGCTGCTTCGGAGGCGACAGCAAGAATCGGTGGAAGGGAGGCTGAGAAGCAGTATCCTTGGCCCGACAAGCGTTGATGGTCGACGACGAAGTGAGAACCGGCGCAGAAGCCCCCGAAAACGCCAATTGCTGTCTCGAGGGAACCTTTGGAAGGGATAAACGTGCTGTGACGGATACCTCAGGCTATCAGGAACTTGAACAATACCTCGCATGTGATGGCGACGTTTCAGCTAGCACCTAGAGAACTGACTAAGAAGTTTGACAGGTGTAATTCTTTATTCAACGCACAGGAAAAGGAGCACAATTTGTCACAACGAAATGACGTGCCAAAATGGGAAAGGGTTGTCGTTAAGTTTCAGGTGAAAAAAAAAGTATTTTTTAAGAGATACAAGGCGGAATAGGGCCATACACTCAGTTTGTTAACGATCACATGCACTACACGACGACCCGATGCACTTTAAATTCGCAAATGACATATACAAACGAGTATTAATGGCATAAAAGTACTTTGTTTAAATATGTGAAGTTAGGTTGAATATTTTATTCCGATGAAAGCGCCAATTTATGTTGATCAACGCGGTAACTACACGCTGATTCAAGACAGCCAATTCGGTACCAAAACGCCTTTAAACCTAACGTCACGAAACAGTCGATTTTGTGCTTTACACTGGCATTACAATCGGCAAAAAGATTGAGAAAAAGATGGTGAGAAACCACTTACAACACCCACAACCCGTGAAAGAAAATAGTAATTTTTTTCGAATCTTAATCTCGACAGTTTTAAAAACGCCTGGAAATACCGTGAGATTGGCCCTACAAAGATTGATTCGGGATTTCTATCTAAATCTCAATTATACTGCCGTCTGGTGTCGCTCGCCCCACTAAACGGCTCTGAAAAAAAATGCTAATTTTTTTCAAGCATGCAACTAAAACCATCACAAAGGCGCATACTCGCTTGTTCGTGTGGGTTCGCGATAAACTACCCGATTGCGTGACGTGATAACACAATAGCAGAAAACTGTGATACAACGCACTAAAACCAATTAAAACTACTTGGTAAATGTACATACAATAAAAAGGCGAGGAAGGGATATCACAATTGGTACTTGCTGCGAAAGCCTAGATCATTTTAGCCACCCACGCAACGTCCCCTAGGTTGTCACGGCAGCAATAAAACTAACACGAATGTTTTCTTTTATAGTGGCTTCTTAAGTGCACAACTTTAATGCAGAAAAAGGTGTGATTTTATGGTTTGGTGATGGTATTTGACATGACTAGGATAATATGAGGATGTGTGAAACAGCTCAAGCAATACAATGTTGCTTAACCAAAGCAAACAATCAATTAGAGGTTAAGGGTGGCGAACCACGTTTAACTTACCTGTAATGACGTCAACGTGGTCCACGTTGATTCCGAAATGCTCTGTGACACCCCGTCCTGCTTCGCCGAGAACTCCGAATGAAATGGTCTCATCCAAGATTATGCGTACCTTGTACTTGTACTTAAGATCAACTAATCGAGGGAGGGGACATATGTCACCGTAGTCGAGGTACAGACCTTCGACAACAAAGAACCGACGAATCTGCGACGCACGTTTCGGATCGATTACATCCTCGACTTGCTGAGCAGCCAACAGTTCCTCAAGGTGGTCCATATCATTGTGGCGGAAATAGCGAATGGTGCTACGAGAAGCGAGTAGTCCCTCGTGGACTGCCTGACTAACACCCTCGTCAGCGAAGATAATGTCTGTGCGTTTTGCGTAGGCGGGAATTGCACTGGCGATTGTGGAGAAGCCGAAGGAGTAAAGGGCAACTTCTTCTACGCCAATGAACGTTTCAAGTGCCTTTTCGAGACTGAGATGAGCGTCAAAAGTGCCGTAGAAGCCTCGGGGACCACAAGCTCCGAGACCATATTTTCTTAATGCCTTAATTGCAACTTGATTCAGAGTTTCATCGCCAATGAAATCAAGGAAGTTAAGACTTGCAACATTGAGGTGCGGCACTGTTTTCAGCTTGTCTTTGCCAGATGATCTGTCTTCGAATTGAACATATCTAAATAAGTTACAGTGTGTTTAGAAGTCTTGGTCAGACGGCGAAAATAAACTGAAATCATTCAAAAAACGAACAGAGAGAAAGAATCCATATAACGCAAACCGAGGATTAATAAAATAAAACAAAACGCACTTTTTAACGGCCCCAACAGAAGCCCTGTGGAATCGTTCAAGTAGTTTCTTTGGTGGAGTCCATGATGCGGGAACTAGAGGCTCAGGTACCCACTCCTCTATCAACTGTTTTTTCTCCGAAGAAGAGAGCTCTGCATTGTCACGGATATTGTAGCTACGTTTGAAAAGGAGCCAAATTATCCCGATTATTAGTGAGATTTCAAAGTAAAAGTGGTAAGCAGGAGCCCGAACAGCGCTATATATGAGTCGCGGCCAAGTGTACTCCGAAAACTGATCCTCTAAAAAGTCATATATACTAAAAAAACTAAAACTAACCAAAATCAGAAAAAAACGATGCCATTTCCGCCGTCGGGGCGGCTAACACACGGTACCAAAAATGCCGCCGTTCTTAATTCTGTTCTAATAGGTCATGCATCTTATATTATTTAAATATAACTTTATGGTTTTAACAAATACAAATAGTGAAAAAGTACAATAGCCAAAAAAAACATGTGCTATTGTGATATTTTTGCAAGTCAATGTCTAGAAGCGTTGATGTATGTGTTATTCCTGGAATATTTTGGTGAACATGTTTTAATGTATATGTAACAGAAAGCGAGCTTATTAATTGCTCTCAATTTAAGAATAGTCGTTAATTGATACAGCCAAAAACCTGTTATTGGGGTTGACTCGTGAGGTAGTCCAGTGAACATTATTGCATGGGGTGTCAGAGACACTTATATTTAAGCAATTTCACGCAATGCAAACGTAGGCATAAAAGTCTCCAACTTTAAATTTATATACACGCATTCGACTTATTGGTTATGTGCTTCTTCGCCTTGTTTGTCAAGTTTCTTGCATTGTAGCTGTAGCTAAATTTATGCAGCATGTGGGCATGAATCTTAGATTTCGTATCACAATTGCGCTAGAAGTATTAGGCAAAGAAATTCAAATTCACAGTGCGAATGAAGATGTAAATGAAATCGCACCACTTACTCTCACTCAGGTTTAATGTATAAGACTGCTTCCTACCATAATTATAATCTGAAAAATGACTCCAATGTCACATATTGCCTTTATCTATCAGGTTATTAAAGACTTGAAGCATTATTGTATTATTAAGGAAATGCTTTTTCTTGGCAAATTTCGATGGACTGAGTAAGTGACAAAGAACGATTTGATCGACGAATTCGTCAACCTTCATTAAGTTATCTAAGTTAAGTTAAGTTATTTAAAGATAAGTAACTAAACCTACAGGAACAAAATAATAATGGCGATATATTATATTGAAAATAACTCAACATAGACGTCTTCAAAATCCATATTTGCTTTCTTCAAACCCTCAGTAATATTAGACAATAAAAGCACAAAAACGCATTTGAAATTTCGCATCATGAAATAATTGTGTATGGGTGAAGAAACTTGGCTTTTTAACCTCTTATTATCCGAATACATTCTGGCAAATCGAAGTATGGGACAGTATGATATGATGCTCTGAATTAGTGAAGCCAAATATTAAAATGTTGTTAACTATAGAAGATAAATATGAATACATATTTTTTGTTCAACTTCTCTGAGCATGGCAATGGTACATGCTTCACATCCGTCACCTGTCATTGTTTACTTTAGAGCGGGTACTATAAAAGCGATTCTTACGGTTTGGTTCCCTCTATGTCTTGTCGCCGATCACGTCAATCAGAATTACTATTTGCAAAAACAAGAACTTCGATTTGATAAAATGCATGAATAAAGGAACGTTTCGGTTTCGTTGAAAACTTTTTGTCTTAACTAAATTGGCACCACTTGCAACACAAGTAAAATAATGCATCTTGATGGAAGTCGACATGCTGTGGAGTTGCACTTGCACGTTGATGGCAGTTTTCGTCCATCAACAATGTTTCAGATTGCCAAGCATCGAGGACTCCTTCTTCCGGCTAAAAGTTCGGAGGAATTCTCAAATTTTTTAAAAATCCATGAACGTGGAAATCTACCTGAACTGCTCTCGAAGTTTGATTGTATAACACCTATAGTCGCAGGAGATGAGGTAAGAAAACTTATTTTAAATCGAAAAGTGGGGCACGGCTATTAATTTTTTACCAGTATTCTGTAGAATACTTCTGCTGATATTGCCTTTAGGCTTTACGCAATAACCTCTTTGACCAAGAGGCCCCCCTATTAGGTCAAGGCCCTTTTATTTATAGATTTTCCGGCAGCAATTAGCCTCAACTCTTAACTTTTGATCACTTTAGTTTAAGGCAACTTCGGTCATCCATGTTGAATCCTACGGTGGTTTTTTTTTTTAATTTTCGTGCGTCGAACACGTATTTGTCATTTTGTTTGGCAGCAAGTTGACTGCCTTACCTAAGGGCCCTGGTAAGCAGAAAGTAGCGGGATTGACATTTACAGTTAGATTCTGTTACGTCGTGCATAATCGCTGCCTCGTATTGATTAAGGTTTTTGAATCAGCGGATATGCGTATTAATGTATTATGTTTCAGGAGGCTATTTCGCAATGCATGACGGACTTTCTTGAAGATTGTGTGAAGAAAAGTCACCTTTGCTACGTCGAAGCCCGTCTGGCACCGCATTTACTCGTCGGCGGTGGGTGTTCTGTCGAACAGGTGGTGAAGACAGTCCTGGAAGCAATGCTCAGCGCAGCCACTCGCTTCAACATCGAAAGCCGCCTGATTCTGACGATGCTGCGTCACCAACCTCAGTACGCATCAGAGGTCATTTCACTCGCCAAGGCCTTCCAACCTCATGGAGTCTGTGCCATCGATCTAGCTGGTAAGGCTCAGTTGAACCTCCAAGCACTATGATTTGTTCGCCCACTGTCCTATCTCCCGCTCCGGTTGTTTCATTTTATGCATCTGACTTGAACCTGCCTAAGAATGTGGTTCAAGGCAAAAAAGATGTAACCCTTCATTGCAATGCTCTATTTTGTGCTATTCAGTGGACAGCCATATTGCACTGTTGCCATACGTCTACGTCCTTTCTGATAGTAGTATTGGCTAGTCCCTTTTGAGGTTTGGACACTTCTACTGACTTTGGGTTGGGATTCGTTGTTTCAGTCCGGATATACCTAGTGTAATGTTACGTTTTTTGACCTCTAAAGGTGATGATACTCCCTGCGACGGAACCAACACAGATCTTGCGGTCAAGGAGGCTTTTCGAGAGGCCTATTTGAGCGGTGTCCACCGCACTGTTCACGCCGGAGTTGACGGCCCGTCCGCGTCGGTTCGTGAGGCCATTTACGACATGTTTGCTGAACGCATTGGTCATGGCTACCATGTTATCGATGACCCCGCACTCTACATGGACGTTCTCGAGAAAAATATCCACTTCGAGGTACTAGAACCGTGTGTTTAATCTGCAAAACTGTCATTGTATACAGTTCTACACACAGAAGTTGCATACTTTGTTCAACTGAAGTAGATGCTGTAGCGTCTTCGTTTGGTTGATCTCCGATTACCTGGTATTGCCTTGTTTTTTTCAGTGTTGGACCTGCGTGGATAAATCAGTAGTAAAGACAGATCCGATTTATTGACTTGAGTAGGGGAACCAACAGCTAAACTTAGGTAAATATGACGCTGCCTGAATTATGTGCACCGGAAGGGCGTAGCCGGTAGATCAACCCCCCCTAGGTGAATCTCAGTTCCGCGCCCATTCTTCAAAATCAGGTGTGTTTAGAAACTAGGCTGTGATCAATTTCTCTCAAAGGTTACACTTTAGGCACGTCGTTAAATCATAACGCACAAGCTTTTTGGTAAAAGTCCGTTCTAGTGCCTTCTCATTGATCGGCACACCTTCACCTCGCAAGAAGTCGCGTTTGAACACGCTTCATGACAGCGAAACTGCCACACCACGAGGACTTACTTGTGTGCGCTCATTATTTCAGATGTGTCCGTTGTCGGGTTGGCTGTCCGGCTCAGTTCCCGAATCGTGGAGAAGCCATCCGATTATTCAGTTCTTCGGTGACCAGGGGAACGTCTCGATCAACACCGACGATCCCACGCTGACGGGTCAGTGGCGTCAGCAGGAAATCGCCATGTGCCTAACCGACCTCGGATTAACATCTACGCAGATTGAAAGGGCCAACATCAACGCTGCACAGGCTGCTTTTCTCGCCGATGTGGAAAAAGAGGAACTTCTAGGCCACATTGCCAAGGCCTTAGGATTTCGAACTATCCGTGATTAGCCAAAGTTAAATTTAAATGCCTCCGGCAAAGGCAATACAGTCTCTTGGTTGTGCTTACTTAGAAGGTTCTAGTGAAGACACCTTCTTCAGAGCGAATGAAAATATTGCTACTGCCGAGGTGGCCATAAATTTAGACATAAACATGCAGTCATCTGGCTCAGTCGTTTGCAGATGTTCGAACCGGCGGCAACATGTGCGCTGTATCCAGCGTTCCTGAAAAAAAGGCCCATAACGGCTTATCTTGTGGCCTTGCGGAAGGTCCGTGGGAATCGAGAAGACTTTGTACTCGTATCCAGTGTCCTAAAATAAACTTACCAATGCGACCAAGATTGTTGACATTAGCAAAATTAACTTGGGAATCTTTCCCGTGTTCTGAGGGAACTTTTTATGACAAGACAGGTTGATGCAACGATTCGCTATGTGGCGTGCCATGATGGCTTGTAAACATCTGGCTTCCGTAATTACTTGAGGGGATTTCGCCGTAGGTCTTCGAACCTATTCATGAGAAGGAAATGAATTGCCCTAAGCGCAATCAATAGAGCCAGTCTGAAGCCTGGAACCGTGGCTTTTATACTGCTGGCCCGAGGAAGTACACAGCCACGCAAGTGCGAAACGGCCTGGTGATGCGGTCACGTGGTGCAGGATTAGGTTGTGCGCACTTATTTGCATTGGCCTGGCGGCCTTTTCCAACGCATCTGCGCGTGCTGTTTTGCAGGGCTGCCGTGTGACCCCTCTTCTCAGGACGCGTTGGCGTTTTACGAAAAAATTATACCAGCAGTAATGTGCACTTCGTGCCAAGCCGGCGGTGTTGTCTAAACGAAACCTGTTGGTTTTTAAACAAAGGCTTCACTGGTGTGTACTTCTCATTTGCAAAGCATTAAAAGAGCCCCACAAATACTTGCCCTTCCTTTTATACAACTAGAATTTACAGACGTGGCAGTGGCGGTCATGGCTACCAATCAATTTAACCCCTAAATTATTTACTTTATCTACGGTGATTTACGAGGTGCAACAAGATCCCTTCTTAGTGTGGTCGCCAGTAAGTGCTTTCGCTTTTCTAGTCTTACAGCGTGTTCAGACTGACCTAAATTCGAAGCACTTTGTTAAAGGCGGTGGAAAGGGAGTAGCCATCAAGCCTGCGTACTGTTAGCTATCTAGGAGGCAGGAAGTTAATGGGTGTGGCTTGATGCGATCGGCCAAAGAATCATCGTTGACGCAATCTGCATCAAATCTCTTGATCCAGTGTTGTTTGCGTTAGGTGGCGTCGTGCTTTATCTACGCAAAGGCTCGAAAAAAACACCGTTCGAAGTATTTATGACACCACCTTGCTTACCATGAGATCCTAAGGCCGTAAATCCAGGGACGCCCACTACAAAGAACCCAAATGTGCTTATACATTTTTTTTGAACAGTTTGCCTGCACATGGCTTGACCTAACTGGTATTTAGGCGAAATTTTTATCTCGCTTGTAGGAAAAAAACCAACTAACGACACAGATGTTTCGACTACCACGATGGAGTCAAATATAGGCGAATCGCATCGCCTACCACGTAAACGATGCACAAATCGGATGGAATAGTGAAAAACTCAATCGCGGACGTTGCTAGATGGTATACCTGCGTAGGATACAAAATACGTTTGCTAAAACTCGTAGGTAAGGCGCACAGATAACCGGGTTGTTGTGGTTATTAACGTTTCCTTGTACTAAATCAAATAGTAAATGGCATGCTTCAAAAACGCGCGTGCAAGCCCAAACCTAAGGACACAGCAAGGCATCCGAAATCGGCCATAGTTCTATGCTGGAGTTCATATAGACAGGTTTGTTGACGCTGAATTCCAAAACGGCGAAATAATTGAGAGAAGCTGCACAAAATCGAGCACAAGGATACTAAATTATCAGCAAAGGAACAAATTTTCCTGACGAAGTGATCTATCAAACATTCACCCAAGCTCATCGAAATTCGAAACCGGCATCAGCACCATGAAATAACCGACTATCACTTGCATAAGATATAAACTGCGCAGTAAGATATTTTTATTGCTTTTAAGACAATTTTAACAAAAAAACATTATTTTCCATGAGGTCAAAATTTGCTTATACAAGGTGAAGTCAAAATGTTAGTCAATTGCAGCAGCAAGGTTGCACGACGAGACCTATGACGTCAGTAAAGTATATAACAGCCCAGATTTCAATGCGCTGACTGTATCATCAGCACCACCGATGCACTTGCCATTAATGAAGACGCGTGGCACCTACAACTAAGAATACAGAGAAATGAAACAAATGCCTACGGTGCGTGCGCCAGTCATCTTCTGAAGCTCGTCCTGAATTGCGTCTGCGTTAGGTAACGTTGTTAGCTCTACAACCTCGTACTCGTTTTCAGGAAGATCTTTTCCAAGATACTGTGCGAAGATATTAAAAACTTTGTGGCAATAAGGGCAATAAGATTTGCTAAATATCACGACCTTCTTAGAGTTGATCTTTTCGTTAATAAACTCAGACACCTCCGACGGCTTCCTGATAAATTACTTTATATACTAGGGACTTTAAAACATTACTTCGAAGGCCAAAACATTTTTAACATTGCGACGTTACGCCTCCAAAATAAATGTTCACGTTCGGGAAATTATCCTCGCCTCGGGATTAACCACAAGCATAATCGACACGTTAAAACAAGAGTTTTCAGGGGAAGATGTGCAGAGTGTACGCGCTTAATCATTGTAATGTTAATCATTACTTAATTTTTAAAGTAAGAAAATTGCTAATTTTGCTCACATTATACAGTTTAACCTGTGGTTTTAACTTGTTATCTCATCAATGTTAATGCCTTGGTATCATTAATATATAACTGGGAAACAGGTTTAAATAGGGCGAAAAAACATACAGTGATCCTTTTTGATAATAAATGAAGAGAAAAATGTGTTGAACATTTCTTATATTCCGTAAATTTATAGAAATTTTGGGATTTAAGGATTTGAAATTGATTTCTCCAAAATAATGAACAATTCCTTCACTTAAAATGTTTATGATAAAATATTTCCATGACTTTAACCGTGAGTCTAACTCGTCGAAGTGGTAGTTGACGTGTCAATAATTTATTAACTCAAATTTTATATTAACATAGTAAAAATAAATATCGCGGTTATCGAGTCAAAAGTAATTATTTGATCATTAAATTAAACTGATTTATGAAAGCCTAGACAGGTTTCAGGAAATTCGGCAACAACTAAGACAATTAACCCAATCTTCGCTCTGTGTTCTACACTTTGTTTTTGTAGCACTTTATGCACAAAATCCAGTTTTACCTTACCTAAATAAAGCAGATTTTTCCACAGCACTTCAACAATTTTTGAAATACCATGGCCTAGGGTTGAAGGTATTTTGATTTTGCTTTATTTCTCTTCTGCCACTACCAGTTTTGTAATGGCTGTTTTAAATTAAGGTCCATGATCTTAAATATGATGGACGTTAGCTGTTTTATTTATGAAGCAATGCGACGAATTCTTTATATTAATTTTGCAATTAAACCCATAAAATTTAATCCTAGGTAGAATTTAACTAGCAATTTGCTGATGAGTAAAAGTAACGTTTAACGGAAATATTATTTTGTTTAAGATAGCGAAATAACGAAGAACTTGAGGCACTCAGATGAATCTTTCATATTTTTGAATGTTGTTTTTTTTTCAAAAACTGCACGTTCTCCCGTGTGTGATGGTGAGGAATTAAAACCACCGAGTTTATTATAATAAATGGTGCACATCACAAAACCGATATTTCATCATTGGTTCTAATCTGTAGGTATAAAATACAATGAAAAAAATAGGAAATTTCCATTATTCACAAGTTACCTTTTCTCGCTTTAAGAATTTTTTTCGAAACCAACTAGCAGACGCAAACTGATATCCACGAGCCAAACCAAATTGATGCAATGTGTAGACCAATTTGGTCTGAATGAGATTTTTGAAATCATTCAAAGCATTTCTTAAAAAAGGAGAATCAGCACAAATTTAAAATATGAAATAATTTTAAGCGCAAATACTGCGTTCAACTGAACATACAGATAGAAATCCTGACACCGTTATAAAAGCAACATCAGAAAAATGAGTAGTTTTTGTGAATCAGAGATATGATCTTCAAATATGACTAATATTTGAGCTTTGAGCATTGCCAATTCCAGGATATCAACTATTGTTTACTTGAAACGTGTTTTTTCAAATATCAAAGACACCGCATTCTTTCTGCAATTAATTTGGCAACATATTACCTAAATCCTATAACTTGAATCACGTCGTTTCAAATTTCAACTCAAGTCTTGACAGCATAATCCACAGAAGTACCTTATGATTTAACTAGGTGCATTCTAAAATATTAAGCAATGTTTTTATTAAGATTGATTGTCGCAAAACTAAACAATGAGTGTTATGCATTTTCGAAGAAGTTTCTAACTACTACGTCGGCCAATGAGATAATAATATTTTTGAGACTTTTTCAAAAAAAATCAAAAACGATAAATATAAGAAATACAGTAACTTTAAAATAAGAAAATGAAAGTCAACTTCATTGTTTTTAAGTATTTTATGCATTTTGCTTTATTTCTCTACAAAAATTTGCTTCAGTAGAAATTTTACTGAGGACTTGTTTCATATATGTCATATTTCATGTGAACCAACGTCTGTAAGGATGATTCATTGATAGATAGTTCAGCCTTTTAGGCAAGCAGTGGTTATACTTCAATTTTCTAGATGAATTCAACAAAAAGATGAATATTTCGAAATTGAAAGTCCCCTTTGCTCTTATTTGGTTTTTTTTTATAAAACCTTTCGACCACACTTTATCAACCATCTGCCCCCTCCGTGTTGCCGAGCAGCAGCACACGCGATAGAAAATGCTGGATTGTGAAAAGGGGTTAGGCTTAAGTAGTCTTCTTTTGACCAATCACGAGCGAGCTCTGTTTACGCTCAGCTGATTGACTCGCGGTACATGTTTCAGGTGGTTTTTGTCACGATGGAGAACGTAGAGGTATGCGTGAGTACCAAAACAGACACGGACAGTGTCGTCGCTGCCTAAACATGACTGTTGAGTGGAATTAGCAACCATGGAGACAATGCATCCACCTGACGACAACCGAGCTGCCGAAGTGGCCCTGAAGACCATCCAACGCTTCCACGAAATCGCCCATCACTCGGCCGAGCGCAGTCCACTGAAAGTACCGACGGTTTCAACAGGCGTCGATGGTGAAGGCGCGAGCTTTGAAGGCTCCGTGTTGACAGACGGAGTGGGTGGCAGGAATGGACGTTCTCTCTTCCTCTTTTCAGAGAACAACATGCTCAGGAAAGCAGCCAAAGCACTCATCGACTGGGGATATCCTTTTTATGGGTCTGATGTTTCAATTAGTTCTATATTTTTACTGAAATTTGTGCTTGTGGGTGTGTTTTATGACACTGAGATCAAGATGGAGCCAGCACTTCTCCCAAGTGGAATATTTTGTTCGCTTGTTGCTGAAACCAACTTGCAGATAAGTCAAAAACCCAGACAATATTACTGAATAATTTAGTATGTACTGGTGATTAGACTGGCGTACGCCTGTTCAGTAGCTTTGCCTAGCGAAAGAATTGTGTATCCAAGTTAGTGTACAGACAATGAAAGCAATTTCGACTTGCAGTTTTGACTTACAACCACGTCTTAGGTTAGAAAATGCCTTTTTAAACACGGCAGAAATCTACCACAACAAATTTCCACCAAGCGAACACCTCTGTAACCGCAAAATGTTAGCTAACGAGTTCAAACCATGCAGTTGATAAAAGAACTCCGTGTGCAGAGACAAATTTTAGTGCGAATTTATCACATCAGATTTTAATTTTCGGCAGTGTTGTCGTCGTTTGCACTTTGGCCAATTTCACAGATGTTATGGCAACTGAGAGTATAATTTTAGGTTGCTAAGTCAAACAGTTGTATAAGATGCAAATTTACATAACTTGTAACATGCAACCAATGAGAGAAAATCAATTACATTGTTTCGAAAATCCTATTGGAAGATTTTGAAATCTGAGTAAATTGATTGGTCGTTGAAATCGCACTAGTTTATCAAAAACCCATTGAGTTTAACGCTCGTGAGCTGACGAATTATCATGGTTGAAAAGATGAATTATAAGGTTTATCAAATTAATTTACTAAACATGTTTCAAACAATCCCAGTCAAAATTTATACAAAAAAGCATTTGTTTCAAGCAGCTAATTCGACCATTTTTACCTAAAAGTGTTTGTTCCTTTCTCCTCAAAAGCTATGCTCCTGGTTCTAGTCGTGCGTTTTCTGCATTTTTGGATAGCTTGTTTTTTTCTAAATCAACCAAAAATCAGAATTCACTGAAAAAATGAATTTATTCTTTAATAAAAGGCTGTTATCTTAACAACCGGTCACACATATTTTTTTCGGTTTTCCTATTGAAGCAGAAATAAGGCACAAAACAAGTAATTTGAAATTAGTTTGAGAGAAAAGAGCGCATTTACTCTAAATAGTCGAATCAAGTCACGTTTTTTGTGGTAATTGCTTATTGGGTCATGGATACATTGACCAGAGTTAAAAGGAATTCTTCATGTAACCGGTGAAACGTACTTTAGTATTTGTGAAAGTTGTAAGGACACACAAGTCGCTCGTAAACAGAGACGGTTTTAGTAAAATTAACAGATCAGGATAATGACGTTTCAACTTTAAAGTCAGGAGTTTAAAGTGCTACTCGGTAGGGTTTAAAGTACACCAATTTTACTGCATGGAATCCGTCAGATGTTGGCAATTTTAAATAAAATCAAATGTAATATTGTAGATCCGGTAGGCTATTTTAATGTGAGAATTAACGCCACGACGTATAATTAACTTGCATTCAATTTACTACATAAATTGTGTGTGTTGATATCATACGTCATTAAAAATGAATTCGTCTTGCAAGATTCGTCTAGCCGCTCTGCAATACCGTTGCGTGTTCTTGTACAACCCTGGTTAAAATTCCAAATAAACACGTTTGAAGGAACAGCAAAAATTTGAATTGAAAGCTGTGAAATTTTAGTTAAATTATACAACTGAATCCTAGTGCTGCATCCTGCTACGTAAAAATGCAACATTTCTGTTTTCGCGTAAACACGCGTGTTGGATCAAATTTAAACTTAGTGACATTCAATCAGCGCGCGATTTTTGGGTGTCTACGTCGTTGTAGTTGGTATGCATTAAAACAATAAATTGTGCAATACTTGGTTTATCTTCTATTAAATTCGCCCTCGTAACATAAAATTTTGTGCATTTTTAAACAACATTTTGCCTATGGTGATTCCTGCGACCGCAAATTAGAAAAACGATGTAATTGGTTCTCGTTCAGTGAACAGCACTGCTAGCATGAGTTAGGTATCACTTCAAAGGTTACTCAATTTATCCTATAATTGTCTGACATTTTAAATAATTTTTGCTGAACACAATTTGCAAAAAATCGATTTAATTTGGCCTCTGCCCAAAGGTGCGCCTCCACATGACCCTTAAATCAATGCGATACAAATCAGGCCACTTTTCCTTTACATTTTTAACAGACGCGCACAAGATTTATTTACAGAAGCGTGAAGGGCAAACGAATTGAGTTAATAACTAGGCACTAGGCGATGATAATCACGTCTGGCTAGCTCTATGCCCTTTCGCCATGCCAAAAACCTTGTGGTAATTTGCCTGAATTATGGATACTGTCTACGCGTCTACCACTACCAAAACAGACGTCTTAGTAACTTAAAAAAATTAGTGTCCTGAGTTATTGATGATACTGCTGGTGTGAAATTTTAAAAGAACCAATAAGTATCGTTGCACCAACTTCAGAATGCGTGAATCCATTTTAAACATGCGGCATAAGCTCACACTGAACTAAAATTGTTTTTATCATTTTGAATTCATTGGCCAGTCACTAGGGGAGGTAGCTATTTGTGGTAGCAACTAAATCTGCAAGCAAGAAGTTGCGTTTTTTTTATAACAAATGTGTGAAACAGGAAAAAAGCTGAGTTATTGTGCGTGAATTTTGGTCCAGACCGGCAACATCAAGTAATTTTGTGTTTTTTTTTCTACTGGAAATTTTTTTCAGGTAGCAGCGATTGAGTAAAATTTTCTTGCATCAGACAAAGACATCACGTGACTGGCCTATTGTCCAACAAACAAAACATGAGTAAATAATAGCATGCTACCTGTTTGCGTAGTTTGTGTTTAAAATAGCAACAACCATGAGCGAATCCCGAATGGAATTATATTCAAAATTCCATGGGGTTGATTTTCATTGGCTTAATTTTATGCGAGCGCGATTTAAAATTTCAAAGGTCGTGAAGCTCTGTTGTAACCAACGTGATTTGGCAATTTAAAAGTGATATCTGAAAATTTTCCTTGACAGTTTTCAATTATTCGTCTTGTACACCATTCGAATATCTGGTTTTGTGCACAATTACCGCAAATTGCGTGTGTCTTGCAATGGAAGTCCACTTACCAAACAACGATCGTCGACCACTTTCTCAACGACTGGTAAGATTTTCCGGACTTAAAACGATTCTTTACAAGACAATTCCTAGCATTTTATTTTTTAAAAAAAACGATAATCGGCCAGCCGAAAATGCCAATTATTGTAAATTAATGGTGCTGCAGTCAATGCTTACCTTACATGCTGCTCTCGATTGTTTAAGTACGCGCGATGATTTTGGTGTCTCAACTAATTTTTTAACATACCCTGTCACGTGACTGTCAAATAAGCACATTACAGCCTCGTAAAGTTGCTAAAAATAGAATATGGCTTGTATTTGACTCCCGTGAAAGTATATCTGTTGGCAAACCAGGCAAATTTTAACTATACCTTTAATGGGCTTCAACATGGGACTACTTGTTTTCCAAAGATTGCAGCCAAACATTGTGAAGTAAGTAGTTTCAATCTAATGCAATCGTAAGATTTCCTAAAAAATTGATATCATCAGAGTGATGCAATTCTGACAGTTTTCACCGATGAGTACTCCATCCAAAATAGATGTTTTTCAATAAACCACCGCCAGAAAACGTTTTTGCATATGTTAAAATGCATCAATTACGTGCCGGAGTGTTTTGTAACGATTTCGATTAAGGAAGCCTCCAATTGTAACACGAAATTTGGTCCTCTCGTAACAAAAGTGTTCTTTTTTAAAGAAAATCCAGAATCACTGTCTGTGCCGTGGTTGATGTACTTTTTTGCTTCACGATGATGGAATGATCCACCAACCCTCATATTTTACAACTCTGCTCTCTAAAATACTCCGATTTCACCGGATTGGATGAAAAATTTGACCGCATCAAAAATTAAATCTGTCATTTTTAGACAAATGGACGGATTTTTAATGAGAAAAAATCTTAAAATATATTCAAGCATTCATGTATTTTGGATTCAATTCCTAAAAGTAAAAAGATATAACTTGTTTCGCAACGATAGTTTCTGTTTGATTGTTTAGTAAGTAAAAGTTAAACATTGACAATTTTTAAATGCATAATGGAAGCCAGAAAGAAGACTGCTAAATTGAGGCCTTAGCCAAAAGGCACATTGGTAATAAAGTTAAGCGGTTGTAACAACCCTATAAATGAGACAAAGGTGCCGATTTTAGGTTCAAAAGAAACAGGCACGGCAGAAATATGTCATTATATCACGAAACATTTAAAGACCGCCTGCTAATGGTCGTAGCAGAATCGCTACGGCTGAGTCAGCCACTCAAATCAGCGTGACCTTCAAAGCGTGCCACTTTGAATTCTTTTGTAATTGTTTTTCGCAGATGTTTCATGCGCTAAAAGTGTGTTTCGTCAGCCTGTGAAGTTGTTTTATTCCCGTGGGCATTTTGGATGCTTTCAGCGTCCAAACTCCATTTCCATTGGCCCGTTCAAATCTGGCGCATCCGTCCAATTAGTTGTACTTTGATTATAAGATCGATTATAACAAACATTGACGTCAATTCTAACACTTATCATTGTCGGGAAATCAAAGTGTCGCTTTTTAAAAAAACTTATAAAGTGCGTGTGCAAAAACAACGTGTCTTGTGTTGTCACGCGAACGACTGTCTAGTAAGGCTTCTGACTTTGTTTTAATCGCTTTTTTAAGGAATTGCTTGAGAACTATTTTCTGGGAATTTTCACTTTCGAGGCGCTCCTAAAAATTGTGGCTTTGGGATTCATAATGCAGCCTGGAGCGTATCTGCGAAATGTGTGGAATATTCTTGATTTCACTGTTGTCATAACTGGGTAACTGACTATTTACTTTGTTTTGTTTTACTTTACGTTTGTTTTACCGAGCAAAATTTCTGCTAAAGTGACCTTTGAGTCAAAATTGTTTGTCAGTGAAGAACGTGTAGACAATTTGATAAAACAAACATAATTTCTTTGCCTATTCCTTGATAAAGTGGCGTCAGTTAATTTTATTAACACCAGTGATTACTAACTGCGGTAAAAATGTTTGATCTTATTCAGCTATATCACCGTCTTTGCACAGACTGGAAATGGCATTGACTTGCGAACATTAAGAGCCGTTCGTGTCCTGCGACCTTTAAAACTGGTTTCTGGAATTCCAAGTAAGTTCTCTTGAATGGAAATTAAGATGTCCAAATTACGGATAATTTTTAAAGCGAGCCTGACCTTGACAATTAAAACGCCTTTTGGTTCACTTAAACAAACTGCATTAGTCCACAAAGCAACTCACAACATGCTTATTATTTGCCTAACATCGTTTAAAAACCGCTCAATTTTCAATTGTCCCACAATTTAAACATTTTAAAGCAGCTAATCGGTTTAAACAAAATGCTTGCGCATAAAAAGCGCAAACACACTTTTTGCAGAGTGATTGACTTTGTGTGGTTTGAAGGAGGCGTCCATAATTGACCAATTAAACCCCATTGATCCACAGCAGCACGCCTTTTACCTTGTAATTATGAAAATATGTATCCTGCAATTAGCTAAAGCTTTGACTAATAAAAAAGTCAAAAAATTAACATTTTCCTTGTTCGGTAAGGTCTCCAGGTTGTGCTAAAGTCCTTGATAAAGGCAATGGCACCACTTCTACAAATTGGCCTGCTTGTTCTCTTTGGAATCATTGTGCTTGCCATCGTTGGTCTTGAATTCTACAGTGGTGGATTTCACTTGACGTGTTTTGACGAACGTAAGTGAACAAACATTTGTTCTGCAATATCCAAACGCCAATTTTAATAATTTGTCTCTAATTATTACTGCCAATTTATCAGTTTTAGGGACACTGTCACATTTCTGTTTAAAATTTATCAGCCACAGTGTGCACACAAAAACTATTTAGCCACGAGAAAATTCTTTCCTCACACCAAACTGGTGGTCTTTTTAAATTAAAGGACAAATCATTCAGTCTCGTCTCCATGCGGTTTTAAGGCATGGTTTACGGTGAAATAAAAGTTGCCATTTTAATGTCGGTTAGACTGAACGGAAATACTAAAATAGCGTCATAATTCCGTTCTTTGCTCTCAATCACTTATCGACTGTAAAATGTAAATGTTTTTGACATACCACCCTATTTGTCCTTTCCGCTTTCGTAGAAAATTTCCATTAAACTGTGGAACTAATTTTTTGGCCACAGAGAAAGAAGCCGATTCGTATCCATCGCCATTGTTTTTGCTTGAAATTTGCAGAGAAGGCTACACCTTCTGTCACAAGCGGTGTACAGCTTGATTTGTGAGAATTAGCTTCTTTTGTTCCTTGAGAGCAAATGAGCCGGAAGCTATGGTTGTTTGTCAATTCTAGCCATCACACAGCCACACAAAAGCACGTTTGAACCTCCCCCAATGATTTATTTCGCATAACTAAAAAACGGTATCGTTAGCGGAGTTAAATAATCGATTTCAGATTTAGCAAGCCATTCGCGTTATCGATCGATTACCACATCACAAAACCCAGGGCAGCTTGCATGCTTTAATGAGTGACGCTCAGACGTGGGATTATTGATTTTTGTGCGCCGGCTCGGGCCACTAAACTGAGATAAACAGCGCCACGTCTTGTCTTGTCTTTGTTCTCAGATTGTTGCCTAACATGAAATCGACAAAACACGCTTTTGTTTAATACTATGTACACAGATTTCAAACCGAAATCGTTGCCTCAAACCACGATCGAACGCAAATTGTAAACATTTGCCGACATTCCAGGTAATTGTCTGTCATCAACTCACGATCAAATAAGAAAGATGTGTGATTTGATGACAACAGCGCTGGGAAACAGCAAATAATTTTTTTTTAAAACACACACAAAAACTATAAATAAAAAATATTAGTTGCCTTAAGTTAATAATTAATCAGTTCCTTCGTAATTAGAGAGGCCTGATAAAAACAATGTCGATGGTAAATTTTTGTTGCATTTTTACTGAATTTTCGTGTTTCATAAGAAGGTAAATGACACAGTGGCTGAAATTCAAGCCTACAGGACTGAAAAGTTTAGTAAACAAGTGGCAATTTCTGATTTCGGAGTTATTTGTTTGACAACCAGATCATACTCCAAAGATGTCAGTTACTTTTCTATAGAAAATCAATACAATAGGCAATTGATGCCAGAAGGCCAAATTTAAATCGTTTCACAATGAACAAACAGTGATTGCACCTGATCTATATTTTGTCTGTTGTCTAAGAAACTAATTTAACATGTGAAATTATGTATTTCTTTTTTCACTAGAAATAGCTAATACTTGTCTTCTCTGCCGTGATTTCCCAATGGGGATTTTCGCCAAAAATAAACCTCTTAATGAACGATGTTTCCACAGCAGCCAGCACAACAACTCTGCATTTTGGATTCCGTTGTCAATGCAATCGCAAAGTCCACGGATTTGTGGCCTTGAGTTCACTTGCGAATGACATTGCTTACACAAATATCGATCAATAATTTATGTACTTGCATTTGGAGTACTCATTAACGCTATCATCCAATCAGACACGTCGGGGTTCCATTTGGACGTTTAGAGACGAGAAATAAATTAAATGTCAAACAAGAGATGGAGATTTTTGCAAACTAACGAAATTGATATTAGTGATTTAACAGCGAGGGGAATTAGTATATGGGATGTAGATTCAATGAGTAACTTCGTAATCTGCAATAATCGATAATTAGGTGACTCACGTGCAGTCAATTCTTCATTTGAAAGGGCGCGTCTTTACACCTGCAAAGTAAAAAATGCTGATTAAAACAAGAAAAGTTACATTTTACGACATCCACCAAATTTCGACACTGCATCCACAGCTCCACAACTGTGTGTAGGCACCTTGATTAAAATGTTCAAATCGATGGGAATAATTATGCTACTTATTGGCATCAGCACTATCGTCTTTTTTCTCGATGGCGATGCGTTAGGGAACCCCCAAAAACTCCCCGACTCCATTCCAACCGTGGCCGGACTTGTGCCTTGTGTGATCGCCAACGACTCCTCCGCGCCACTCAAAAGTGTACCGTCTGGTGCCTTCGTGTGTCCCGTCGGTTACGTCTGCAAAGGATACTGGGAGGGCCCCAATTACGGAATCACGAGCTTCGACAACATCGGCTACTCCATGCTCACTGTCTTTCAGTGCATCACGATGGAGGGATGGACTGATATAATGTCTGCAGTAAGCAACAAACAAACCGATATTGTGTTTCAACGCGGGCTTACGGAAACGAATATTTAGCACGCCTTAGAGATGTCGTGTAGCATTAAACAGCATAAATTCACTTTCCATAAATACGAGCCTTTCAAGCAAATTTCTGCCGAGCAGAAAGACGGAAGGATAAAAGACACGGGTTTGTTTTAATTACTTGGCGGTTGGTTTGTCGGTTTGGCCCAGTCACCGATGGCGGTCATTTTGACTAACACTCTGAAGTCGGTACATGCTTCGAGTTATGTCGCGCAGTCAAAGTACACAACAATCGTTACGCCAGCTGTGGCTGGTCACATAGGTGAGGATGTTTCGAAAGTAGCGGCTACTGAAATCGGTACATTCCTCAAAATGGTTGTTCACAGTTTAACCAACTAATCCCTTTTGAAATATCATCCGACACATGCGCACGAATTCACCAATAAGTTAAAGATACAGACGAATCTTTTTGACATCTGAGTAACTCGCTGAAGCACGCATCGAAGATCCATATTAAAATAATATCATTTGAGGGCATTTCAAGAGTCACGTGACTAATCGATTGCTGATTGGCTGGAATTGCAATCCAAACAGGAGATTTGGTGACAAGTGTGCTGGCCTCGTGGTGATGTTTTCCACTTTCGTTAACAGTTTTTTTTTCAACTTTTGCACCCAATTCTTTGACATTTCATTCCATCAATCACTCAAAAACCAGAAAACATAAATTTTGCACAGATAGACGAAAGCGGGGTAACTAAGTGCGATAACGGTCTCACTTAGGAAACATCTCAAAATTAGATATTTGCAAGTGTTCGCGAATCGTGCTGATTCACGGCCAGTAAGCCGGTCGTCTCAGCCTCGCACACGCACACGTCCCCCCTTGTTACGGCGTGCCCTGCAGTCACGTGGGACTGTAGTGGCTTATGGTCTAAGCACTACCCGCAACCCTCTAGTTAACGGCCCGTAACGACCCCAGAATGGAGAGAAGAGAGGCGACAGAGGATACGAACGTTTATTAGCGTCACGCCAGCCAAGGGTGTCTTAGTATGTGTATGAGTGAACGGGTGACAGTCATGTGATAATGTAACCAATGAAAAAAGGATGAGTCATTGTCACCGTCGGGCTCACTCTGGCGCGATCGCTGTTCACTCAGCCCTGTGAATTAACCACTTACAACGGTCTTATCCACCTGGTCATTCAGACGTCTGTACTCTTGGTAATTTACACCCCGATTATATCGCCCATGGGGTAAATTTAATCCACGCGCAACTCAAATTGGTTGAGCTATCAACACAGTGTCCCCAGAGGTGGTTAAAAAACATGCCGGTGACCTAGACACAGGGAAGTATTCTGTAAATTTAAACTTATTTTGAAAAAAAAATTATTACCGCGTGCAGAGGGCTATTCCAATAGCTTTGGATGTGTCATGTGAAAAATATTCCTTTCCGAGGATGTGATTGGTCGGGTATATTTTCGATTATATGAGACTTGTGTAAATCCGTTTTAGACCGATTTCGCCTTCGGAAATCGATTCAACTTCTTTTACTTCATAACTCTTATCGTTCTGGGGTCTTTCTTCATGCTGAACTTGGTTCTTGGTGTTTTGAGTGGGTAAGCGAACACCATTTGTTGTTTTTTGACCACTTTTTCTGTGAAAAATGTGTTTGCATCGCCAAATGCGTTTGATTGGCTGCTTGTTGTTTTTCAATATTCATGTCAAATTTAAACAAAAGAGCGGAATTTCAAAAGTGACTTTCAATCCAGCCGTGATTGCACGTGGCAATTTTAGTGAATTTGCGAAGGAGAGAGAGCGTGTAGAGAAGCGAAGGGCGTTTTTGAAGTTGCGACGTCAACAACAAACAGAACGCGAACTAGACGGCTACATTGAATGGATCCAACGGGCAGGTAAAGCTAAGTATCCAATTTTTTGTGTTGCTTAGTGGACAAAATTAAAACACTTTTTTTCATAATTTTTCTACAGAACAGTACACTGAACGGTTGAAAACTGACTCAGATATGCCAAAGATGTTTTGCCTGTTTTAGAGGAGGCTATTTTGGCGGAAGAACAAACCACAGTTGCGGAAAAATCACGGATTCTTCGAGGTATGTCTTTGTTTTATTCATTTTTTATTGATTTTCCGACATTTACCGGTCATATCATTTTAACCCCATGTCTTTGGTAAAATGTATTAGGTGTCGGAATTTTATTGGTCTAACTATTTTACATGCATTTTAAAGCTCACAGACGCGCTAACAAAACAATTACAAACGGGAAAATGTGTTTCGAACACAAAATTAACAACTTGGGTAAGCATGTGACTAATTTCTATGGTTAAAATTGATTTGGTGCTACCTTGTTATAACGCTTTGATTAATGAAAAGGCTAAGACATATATTTCAAATTGAACACGGAATCCGACTTGCTGCTTCAGGCTGTCTTCATTAATTTGCATCACTGCTGCTGATCCATTTGTCACCAGTTCAAAACGTCATGCAATCTTTTTAAATTTGTTCAAATGTTTTTTTTTTGGAATTTTTTGCATTAAAACACAGGCAATCCAAAGTGAATTTTGAGGTTAATTTGTTATTTAGCAATTTATACATGACACGCGAAACGCAAACATGGAAACTTATCGATTTATCCGATATCATATTCAGTTTTGGATTTGTTTTAATTATTAATTGTTATCAGCGGGACTCACAAAATTGCATATCAATATTTCATGCGACTCGTCACGATCATAATCAATGCCTTTTCCATTAAAGGCAACCTACATTGCAAACATTCCCTTTGCAAAATATTTCCTGCCTTATTTCAGAGAATGTTCAGTTAAATAAAATTAGCGTGAGAGATTATGCCATCGTTTAGCAAAAATCGGAAAGACCACGTATTCGAAAATTTCCATCAAGGTGCAAGTTATTTTAGTAAAATCATTGCGTGTACGGCGTAGATTTTGAAAATTGTGTGTCCCAATTTCAATCAGTGGTATGCCTAAATGCTTTTAATGCAGCTCTTTTAGTCAAAGCACCAGTGACGCCGTTGCCATTACTGTCTTCAAGCACAACTTAAGATTGTGACCGTTTTTTTCTGCAACGTACAGACAAAAATCTAATCTTATCACCTCTGAGATGCTTTTAATTCACCACAAAAGTTAAAATTATTCAAACACAGAAATCGTTTCAAAAACTCTTCAATTTAAATTAATTTCACTTCCCACAACCAGTGATTAATGATAAGGTAAAACTGACTGGAAATCACCAATTTGTCTTCAGTAAATTTGGTTTCTTTCTCGAAAAAAAATGCATTGTCTAGTTAACCAACCACAGAATCCTGGTGTCTGTGTCTTCATTCTCATGAAAAATTGGCATTTTAATTGTGATATTGCTACACATAATAATAAAAATTGAAAAAAATTGCAAGATAAATCTTTAATTCAAGACAATATTATGTATTTTTTTAGAATTGGTAAATATTTGTATCTATTTATAAAATCTAGTCTGATTTTTACAGAATTTGGCAACCGAAGACGCTTCATGACAATCAGATCTGGCCACTGCTGTCGCATGCTTAAACGCATTAGGTAAATTAATAATCTTAAATAATGTTTTTTTTAAATATCAAACAAACGCGGCGGGATTTTCTGTTGCATGTTTAATTATTTTGCGTTTTTTTGCAGACTAAAATGTCGAGTTTTGATAAAATCCCAGGCATTTTACCTACTCGTTCTCTCCGTAGTCTTTCTAAATGCCATCTGCGTGGCAATTGAGCATGTTGGACAGCCAACTTGGCTGAGCGATTTTCTGTGTAAGGAATTTTTATAAAAAAATATTTCCAGCTTTCCAAATTATTAATTATTAAATCCTTTTAATTTTTTTTGCAGACTACGCTGAATTTGTTTTTCTTGGATTATTTCTTACGGAGATGCTATTCAAGATCTTCGCGTTTGGTTTTGCGCTCTACTTTAAATCCTCGTTCAATATTTTTGACTGCGTTGTAAGTTGAATTAATTTAATTAAGTAGTATTGTTTTTTCTCATTTAGCGTTCTGTTTTTCACGTAGAACTAAGTAGATCCTGCACCAAGGCAAATTTAGGTCCAAGATAAGAAAATCTCATGAATTGCTGTCAAAAAAATTGCATTCCACAGGACAATTCTTGCAAACGAAAAACGTTTTTTAAGCTTGACTAAAAATTAAAAAAAATTGCTCGTTAAATCATCAAAAGCATTTTTTTTACTGTATGTGCTAAAGTATTTATGCCTTAACCAGGCAATCCTATATAATATCTAGATTTCCATTTTTGTAAAATAATGTCTCTTTTTAAGATATGTCAAAATAAAATATTTGTTATACACGGAAAAATGAATTTGAAATGCAAAAATGTCAAAATGCGTTTTATTTCAAAAAATCGCACTATTTCCAATTCGCGTACCTAGCTGCGCATTTATACTTTGGCACTTTTCCTCCAAAAAAATTTTTGATCATGTATTTGATTTTTTTAATTTAAAATTAATTTAGGTTGTTCTGGCTAGCTTCTTCGAAGTTGTTTGGCAATTATTTTTTCCCACGGATTCTTTTGGATTCTCGGCTTTACGAAGCATCCGGCTGCTGCGTATTTTCAAATTCACGCGGTATGTTTTTTTTTGAAAAAATCGTAATCTATTGTCATTTCTAAAAACTGAATTAATGTTGTTCGCAAGTAGTTAATTCAACGCAAATATTTTTAAATAATCTAAGTGATATTAAATTATTATCAAAAGAAATACTTTAGACAAATATAATTTATTACCAGAAACAATTATTTAAACATTACACAAAAATACAAATTATCTGACTTCGTCGCCAGAGTTTAGCTTAGCGTCGATGAATTTATTTTGACGTAGGTTGTTGAGAAATTTAGAAAAAAAATTGCTCTTTTTTGCAGTTACTGGGCGTCATTACGGAATCTAGTGCTGTCGTTGTTGAACTCCATGCGCAGCATAGTCAGCCTCCTTTTCCTCCTCTTCCTCTTCATGGTGATTTTTGCACTACTAGGAATGCAGCTCTTCGGTGGTGGGTGCGTCCCTATTCAATACTACTTAATTTAAAATTTGTGTAAAAATAAGTAGTATTAGAAGTGTAAATCTACTAAATCGGTTTATTATATGTGAAAATTTGCAACCTACAATCTAGTCTATTGCTCATTGGTTCAAGAATTTGTATAATTATGAGTAGTATGTACTCGAATCTAACAGCAAGTAGCGGTGCGTATATTCGACTTCACATTTCGTCATTGCTAGACTCTGATTGGTTAATTTGAATGAGCGCGGGATTGTGAAGCCAAAATAAGGATAAGAAGGAAAGAAGGCAATAAACATTGAACTGTTAATGGAGAAAATCAATTTCTTATATTGGGCATGCCCTTATATTTTCACGTATGCAATTCTTGGTCGAAAAATTGATATTATATGGATTTGTTTAAATACCTGTCAAATGGCACTGTAGCTGCTTCCTTTCGGGCTAATCACACAGAAATTCTCGTTTTTAGGTTCGCCTTTGAAGACGGTCAGCCAAGCCAGCATTTTGACACATTTACGAAATCCCTTCTTACCGTATTTCAGGTACGACCTGTCATCATCGACAACTGAAATATCGTAATTGGGCTTTTCGTCTTGTTTAAATTTAAACGCATTTAATTAGTCATTTTAAAGAATATGCTTCGATAAAACAATTTAGGAAATGAGCGAATATTTTAGTCTACCTTTTGCGTATTGGTTTCAGTAAAAAACGAATAATGGTGAAACCATCACAAAAATACATTTCTGGGTTAATTTAGAAAATCAGGTTGTTTGTTTTAATTTATATACACATTTGCAAATTTGGTTTAAATAAAGTAAAGAAATGTCTTTTTAAGAAACAGTATATTCGAAAAGACGGGCATACGGAAAGTGTCCAGAATTGGTGTTTCGCATAGATTTTTTTTTCAGATTCTCACGGGCGAGGACTGGAACACGATAATGTACAACGGCATTCGGTCGCAAGGTGGATTATCAAAAGGGGCCTTTATCTACTGCATCTACTTCATTCTATTAATGATTTTTGGCAATTGTATCCTTTTTCGGTCACACTTTAGCTACTCAATTCGACACAATTTTATTTTTCGTTTGAGATTCTAGAAAATGTACAGGTTTTTTTAGCACAAATAGACCAACTTTCTGCTCAAATATTCGGAAATCCAGACACTATTTTCATTTGATAACCCCAAAAGCATTAAGTTTTTTAAAAATTGGTTTGTGTCGTGTATGGTCATTGTGTTATTTCTACGTTAAAAACATTACTTTCGAATTGTGCTTTGCCTGAATTAAATTGGTCCATTGAAAGTTTAACGGTGTCCGGATTATTGTTTTAATAACCGTAACATATGCCTTAGAAAAACCACATTTATGCAAATTTTAACTCCACAATCTTGTAATTTCAAGTCAGCCTACTTGCTTAATGTACTTTTGTTATCAATTCTCCTTTTAGTTAATATCAGCAAAGTTCTAAGTTTTTAAATTGGCAAGCAGTCATCACCACCAGATTCTAGGTTAATAGTGCATTCAAAGATACCGCTTAGAATTAAAGTACAAGCCCAAACAAAATATTGCGTAAAATTTATTTGTTTGAAGCGTTATAGATATGTAATCAACGAGAATTCCTAAATTTAAGCTCCCGCCACAATCAACTTAACCGCTAATCGATGTGTGGATTTAAACAATTGCGTCATCCAATCAAGCGCTAGCCTTAAAAAAGGCTCGTTAGACTGTGCTATTAACGTTTAAAATACAACACTTTAGGCAGAAAATTTCGGTAAACATTGTTTGCGGTTTTCTAAACTACTATGACAAGTGGCAGCCTTAACCGCGCACCTCTCAGACACCCTACTCAACGTGTTTTTGGCTATCGCCGTTGACAACCTGGCAAATGCTCAGGAGCTGACAGCTGTGGAGGAAGCTGAGAAAAAGATTGCTGAACAGGTTCGACAGTTTTTGAAGTTCGTAGGATTTTCGACTGAATTTAAAAAAAACACTTAGGCTTTTCTAGTTAACACGATGACTTTGCTTCAGTGCATTAAGCTAGTAATGTTTACCTTTAACAAGTTGTTCTTGGGCACGTTTTTCTTATGTTTGGCGGTAAAAAATTGTTTCTTTTCGTTTTAATAAAAATTAGAAAAGAGCAGACGAACTGAAGGAGCAGTATTATAGGATGGGACTAATCACAGACGAAGGTACTGACCAGGATTTGTAAGTTTTTTGAAAATTTCAAACCGTTTTTGTCATGAGTTAGTTTACTTTTAACGATGAGAGGACAATTTAGCCATTGGAGTTATTATTTTGGCCAAAATACCACATTCCTGCCTCAAGAACTGTGTAGTGAACTTTCATCAAACAAGCATGAGTGAAGCTCATTCACCAGTTGATCGAATGTCATCGATTATCGATTGCAGTTGCCGATCGATGCTATAAATCACTCGGGTTGTCAAATGCAAATAAATCCTATTATTCACGATTTTTAACAACAGAGAATGTTAAGTTTACTGATCTCTATGCATTTTTGTTCTTCTAGACTTACATCGAATTCAGTTGGACACAAATTGGCGACTCATTTTGAAGAACGTAGGCATACCCTTTTATTGTTGTTGGCATTGTATGTTACCTCAATACATATTAAGATTTTAACCAGATTTCCTATCTACTAATTTATTTTATAATCCATCAGAGCGGTTTAGATTTTCCAAATTGAAATTTTCCTTCACAGTGATTTCATTGGCTGGTTTGTAGCCAACCAGATGTGGAGACACATAAGCTATTTTGGTTGGTTTGCCTGGAGATGCGTATATTTGTGTTCTACTTCAAAATGAGGGGAGCCTCGTGAAATGTCATTTGTTCTCATCGTAAATCTAAACTAGACTTCGTACTTAATAACCCGCTTCATGACCAGTTAATTTTTTCTGGGTTTTTCTACGAGGATTCTTTACTTCACGATGTTAGGATTCCTTATACAGTTTAATGTTGAGATTAAGTGATTTCATTGGCTAGTTTGTAGCCAATCAAAGGTTTGCCCACTCAAGCGCCTCTGACTGGTTTGCTTTGGAACCTAAAATCTTTCCTTTGTTATCATCTAGGTTCTATGAATGGAGAAGAGCAAGCCTCAAAGAGCGAATCCTCAAAACCAACCTACAGAAAGTCTATCCTACCTTACAGTTCCATGTACATATTTTCTCCCACCAATCCGTGAGTGACCCGGAGTTCTGTGACCTTGTATTCTAACCAATTAAAGCTCTAGGTCGATTGCAAAGCACGTTTTTACATGAACAGCAGCCACCAACCCACAAATACCACGTAAATTAGGGCAGCAGCACGATTTTTAACTGACTCATTCACTCATCTTCAGCATTCGCCGTTTTTGTCACTTTGTGGTGAACCTACGCTACTTCGACCTCTTCATAATGATTGTCATTGCTTCAAGCAGCATCTCTTTGGCAGCTGAGGATCCCGTCGACGAGACGAACCCTCGTAACATCATCCTTGAATACTTCGACCATGCATTCACTTGTGTCTTCACGCTGGAAATGATCTTAAAGGTGAATGCTAGTTCCAACGACGAAGTGTTGTCTCCATGGTGATGTTTAATCGAAGTCTGCGTTTTAGCTGATCGATTTGGGCGTGGTTTTGCACCCGCATTCCTATTTCCGTGATCCGTGGAATGTTCTAGATGCTGTCGTTGTGCTGGGAGCCTTGGTGGCATTTTCTAGGCAAGTTCAAACGCTCCTATCTCACCTTCTTAACATTTCGGTCCTCTTTTGTAGGGTTTTTAAACGGTTGCTTAAATATAGTGAGTAGTACATGTATCGCGCTTGAACTCATTCAAACTCAATTTTGACATTTCAGTCGCCAGGCTGACGGCAGTGGTGAGGGAAGGAAGACAGCAAGGTAAACTTTCAGCAAATTTTAAGTTTCTTGGTCTCATTTACCCTTGAATTCCTGAATCGGGTCCCTTTATGTTTAAAAAAATGCTACTACTTATAAATAATTATTAGTAATGCTCTGGTCCTTTTCAAGCAAGAATCTGGGCACGATAAAATCTCTTCGCGTGCTTCGAGTGCTGCGCCCGCTAAAGACGATCCGACGAGTTCCAAAATTGAAGGTGAGTTAAACCGATCATTACGCCTGCCCACGCCTTACATCCTGAAGGCTGAATGAATTTGCACGCTTGCTTTAGGCAGTGTTTGATTGCGTTGTCAGCTCGCTGAAGAACGTCCTCAACATTCTCATCGTCTACGTGCTGTTCCAGCTTATCTTCGGTGTGGTAGCTGTCCAGCTATTTCAGGGAAAATTTTTCGCCTGCAACGATCTTTCCAAAGACACACGCGAAGAATGCCAGTAGGTGTGGTTTTTACCTCGTTTTCGCTTCGTTTCATCGATTAATTTCATCAAAACACTGGTAACCTACACAGGGCAAATTCTAGTTAGATTAATTGCTCTTTCGACAAGTATGTAAATGTGTTTTATAATGAGCGTAGCTGTCATAAATGTACAACGCTATTTGTAGCAGCCACACTACCTCCCCAGCCAATCACATTGTGTAGCCTCCAAGCGGTAGTCTTCTGATGCCTAGAGACAACAACGAAAAATTACTGAAAGTAAAAAATATCATTATTGATCTCCCGAATGCACTTCGCAGATTTTACTAACTAGGTTAAAGGTTAATGGTGCTGTTTGTAGTGGCCGCACTACCGCCTCAACCAATCACAGTAGAGTGTAGCGTCCACCTCTTAGTAACAGGTTATGAACTACCTAGAAACTAGATACTGCTCTGAAAACTCAATGTAGGTAAAAAAATTTGTTCCGCTATATTTAGGGGCTACTACATTTCCTATGAAAGCTCAAGTATTCCCGAGGTGAAGCCACGGATTTGGTCTGCGCGCGCCTTCAACTACGACAACATCGTCTATGCCATGCTCACCCTCTTCACAGTCACCACAGGAGAGGGCTGGCCAGAGTACGTTTTCTGCTGAAGTCATTGGGCACGTGGAAATTATCAAGGTCACCTGTTATGATGAGTTCGTTGTGGAACTGACCAATCAGAGGTCTAGGAGGTCTTGAAGTAGCTAGACATATGGATCAATGCTCTTTTGGGTTTGTGTTACTGACACTTGAGGCTGAGTCATGCGCGTCAGGCAGCCAATCACGTAGGATTTCATAGACAACTCAGTTAAAGTATTTTTGAATCAAACTTGTCGGTGTCTAAAATCGAAATCCCCTATGTGTGATTTTCAGCATAATGAAGAATTCAATTGACGCCACAGACGTAAATCGGGGGCCGAAGACAGATTACCGACAGCAGGTCGCCATCTTCTACATAATCTTCTTCGTTGTCTTCCCGTTCTTCTTTGTGAACATCTTCGTCGCGTTGATTATCATCACATTCAAAGAGCAGGGAGAAAACGAACTAGTTGACCATGAATTGGACAAAAATCAGGTAGAGCTATTATCTGAAATCAATAAACTCATCTCAGTTGCGCGGAAGAATGCGCAAAGCTAATTGGCTACTTCTTCTAAAGAAGAAAACTATTGGTTAGAAGATTCAAATACCGTTTTTTGTGGATTTCAGAAGCAGTGCATCGATTTTGCAATCAACGCGAAACCGCTATGTCGATATATGCCGGAGGACCCGAAATCACTGAAACATCGAATATGGCAACTGGTCGTTTCCGCACCATTCGAATACTTTATCATGACAATGATCGCCCTAAACACGTTAATTCTAATGATGAAAGTGAGTTACTAGCGCAAAATTCTTTTTGCAAACCACAAAACCGTCTCACCACTTTGAAACAGTAATGGAAGCCCAATTTAGCAGAAAATCGCGTTGAAAGTCTGCTACTGCTTGTAGTATCATCGGCCTGAACGCTCTGTTCACTCGACGTTGAAGTCATACGACGAAACCAAAGCCTACGAGAGCTACTGCGCCTCCCTAATGTACCTCAACACCGCCTTCACGGGAATGTTCACCATCGAGTGCCTTCTGAAGATTCTGGCATTCGGACCACGAGTAGGTCCATTTTACGCCTATTAACACCTTCTCGTAGAATTACTTTCGAGACCGCTGGAACATCTTCGACTTCATCACTGTCATCGGCAGCATTACCGACGTCTTGGTTACCAGCTCTCAAGTAGGTTCTGTTATCGTGTTTTCATTGACCAATCAACATTGAGTTAAAGTAACACCAACCAATCAGCTGGAGCCAAGCCTTTTCGGATGAACCCCAAGGTCACTTGAAGATCAATCTTGCAAACCTATAAACAAACTGAAAGACGTTAATGTTTGTGCTGAGAGGCTAGTCGTTAGAAACCTTTAAAATTCATGACCACTGTCAGTTGACCTGGCTGCCATGTGTGCACGAGGGATCTTGTCTGTGTCTATTCTTGATGTCTCCTAGGACACGTCGTTCCTCAACTTGGGTTTTCTAAGACTCTTCCGGGCTGCGCGTCTAGTGAAGATGCTGCGTCAAGGCTACACCATTCGAATCTTGCTCTGGACTTTCATCCAGTCCTTCAAAGCCCTGCCTTACGTGTGTCTGCTAATCGCGATGCTCTTCTTTATCTACGCTATCGTTGGAATGCAGGCAAGCCAAGTGTTCAAATCATGTGTTTTGTCAAATAAGGTGACGACCTTCAAGGCGAGTGACTTCCTATTGGTCGGCTCAAGGACAAATTTGTGGTCCCTCAAGTACTGTTGTAGTAGAAGGCCTCTAAATCACAATAACAAAACATTTAGTGTGGATTTGAGTTTGCAATGTGAAACTAAGGGTTCACGGATGCTGCTCCGTAGTTTCTTGTGCAATCCAGACCCCATCTTTGCTTTCCAATAACTTTTTGCAAACTTCACTTACATGCAGGAGAAAGTTGTACGAACAATTCTGATTGGTCCAACAGTTTTTTCGAGTTTAGCAGCCAAGTGTTTGCAAATTCTAACGCATTTTACCTCTTTTTGCGTGCCTGCCCATTTACTTAAGCGATTATTTTAAAAGTTCAGAATTTTACTGATTGGCATGTCGAAATTTACTTCTGTTATTAATCGCAGATTGGAGGGAATGTAGGAAGTTATGGTGTGAATCCACGACGTTGTGTTGCCGACATAATTTATAAGTTGTCAGCAATTTAGGGTGCTAACATACTACTTAAAATTGGTTTTCGTGTTGAAAGAAAAGTAAATCGTAGAGAACGCTCAAGGCAATATTGTGCTTTGGGTTAGAGAACTTGTGAGCGATTTTGTTGTGAATTTGAATTGGGAAACTCGTTACATTTGACAGTTGAATCAAGACTTACGGTGAAGTAGTCCACACTTCGACAATGGTTAGCATCATTGAACAGAGCTTAATTACGATGAGTCATTCGTGCGCTTGCGAAACGGGACCAATGAGATGTATGTATGAGTCACAGATACCAATCAATTGGTGATATTTATGATGATTCACGACAGATTCGGCTCCAAATTTTACTTAAGGTCAGATAACAATGCTTTTTTCTTCTATTTCACTTATAATCAAGCGACTACAAAGCTTTTCTTAACTTGGTTTTGCGAAGAACGGAACATACTGAAATAAGTTGCGTTGTAAATAAAAACTTTATGCGGATTAAAACTGGTTTGGAATCGCTAGATTATTTGATTGACCTTTTAGCTATTAATACGGCGTTTCCATCCTTATTCCTAGCAGATTGTGGATAAAATTTAATTATAGGTATCCCCGTATTAATCCACAACCGCTAACGTAAAAGTTTACAAACTTTTTGGGCCTTTTGGTTACTTAAACTCCATTTCGCGGTGTTCCCGTTTGGTTTTTTGAACTTTTGCTTTCTGTTCAGTTATTTGATCTATTAAAGTGGACATTAGCGCTTGTAGGAAACGCCCTTTATACTCAATTCAAATGCTCAATTTACGGCATTTTTAATCGCCGTGCAAATAACACCATTGGTGGAACCCCAAGGTGTAGTGGTTAACACGGCAATTTGACTTGCATCATTCTAACCTTCACACCGCCCATTATAATGCAACTTACTCAGTCGATCGATACTTTTTCAATGTATGCCGTATCAGGTGACCTTGAACTGACCCTGAATTTGGTAAAGTAGCCAATAAAATCGATTTAACGTATTCACACACTTATGATGTTTTACAAATAAATCATAGGTTTTTGGGACAATCGCTGTGGACGATCCGTCGAGTCAAATAACCATCCAGAGTAACTTCAGAACGTTTGGCAATGCTCTTCTTCTGCTATTTCGGTATGTTTGTTTGTTTAAATGCGACGTTTTTTGATCGATAAATCTCTGAGCTTCTTTCCAGCAAATATGCCAAGAATTTTAATATCCGGTGTTTCAAAAAGGCCCGCCGTTGTCGGGAATTCTTGATTTTCTGCTTATGATTCAGTTTCTAATTACTCACGAACTTAAAATCAAACTCTAGTGCGTCGGTGTACTAAAACGCCCTTCAAAAATCTATAATTTGTGACACCAAGTTGACGTATCCATGTATTTAAAAGTAACGCTTTTATTATTCACAAAATTGAGGATGCAACTATGGTTGTTACTTAACCCAGAATAAAGACCACACCCAAAAGAAGCAGTTCCGGGAAAATCTTTTTGTCTACAAGGCAGCGTTGGCAGTTGCCACTGACATTTGGTCAAACGCTATTTTTCTTCAAACTTTAAATAACCACAAGGACAAAAGACGCGGTAGTTGTGCTGTTTTTTACTTCCCAACGATCCACCAATCGAGCGAAAATTGATGTGACTAGGTGGTTTTAAACTCAAACCCCACAAACGAGTTGCGAGACCACGTTACACCAAAAACTGACAACAAGCCAATGAAACAAGAGGAGTCGATTAATCTCCTGTCCAATCAAAATGCTTTTGTCAGCTGTTCGACTGGTGAGTCGTGGCAGGAGGTGATGCTCTCGTGCGACTACCCACAGCGTTGCGCGAACAAACCCGAGAGTGCGTGTGGAAGTGGTGGAACCTACCTCTACTTCGTCTCCTTCATCTTCCTCTGCACATTCCTCATGCTGAATCTGTTTGTGGCTGTCATTATGGACAATTTCGACTACCTCACCAGAGACTCGTCGATACTGGGGTCGCATCATTTGGAGGAGTTCATTCGTGTCTGGGCAGAGCATGACCCCGCTGCTACGTGCGTACTTTTACCTTTACTGACAACGTTTAAGTAGGCATTATTTTTAACGCTACCCCACTGTGTTTTCGTGCGTGCTCAAGTGGTCGCATTCACTACACCGACATGTACGAGATGCTGCGGAAGTTGGAACCGCCTGTAGGATTCGGGAAGAAGTGTCCCTATCGATTGGCGTATCGCGTAAGTTCCTCCGGGATAGTGTTTTTTCCAGACCTAAAATGGCAGTACCCCATGCGTCAACTTCTCCTTTAAGAAACTGATTCGAATGAATATGCCCGTGGACGAATCAGGGCGTGTGCACTTCACCACAACCCTCTTCGCTCTCATCCGGGAGTCGTTGAGCATCAAGACGGGTTCAGCTTCAGTGATGGACATCAAAGACGCCGAGCTGCGTGACACACTTCGTGAGATGTGGCCGTTGCAAGCAGCCAAAATGCTCCACCTATTGGTGCCTAGCGACGAAGGTAAACAGTGCGGTAGAAAACTTTAAAACCGCTCAACAGCATGCGCGCGAAATCTTAAAAAAATCGACGTTTAAAACAAATATGTACGCTCACCGCTATTGGCCAGTTCAAATGGTATTTAGACGACACCAGTGCAGTAAAACAAAGAATTATGCAGAAATAACAGAGTAAATGTCGCATCTTTAACACTATTGGTTCAGACTGAAAGGTGTTTCAGTGACCTTGCAGCGCAAATCAGTTGATAGTGCGGAGTGACTAAGAAATTCATTAAACATAAACTTGTTTTAATTCAATCGTTTTCATGTACACGTGTTCAATATCTACCAGGTCAAATTACATTAAATTAATTTAGAGTTTACTTCTATGGACGTTATTAATGAGACGGTTTCTTCTTACGTTTTGCTACTTAAAATCAATAAGTACTCATAGTGTAGCAAATTTCACATTTTTAAAAAGACAGGTTAACGCAATTTGAACCTTAGTTATCACTCTTGTTGTAGAATTAACTTGTGGGAAATTGACGACGGGAAAAATCTACGCGGGTCTTCTCATTTACGAAAATTGGATAGCCAATGGGAAGCTGAGAGAAAGATTTTCTCCTGTAAGTTACGATATGCGTATATTTACTTTGTGGAAAAAAACTTTTCTCTGACCAATAGTAAAAGTCTGAGCTGACCATGAAAATTCTTCTCTCAAGGTCTCGTGTTTGGAGGCTGAGCGAAGACACGTGAGTTCGCATCCTCCACCTTTGGCGGAAACCATGAAAGAAGCTGCAGCAGATGCCGATGCGACCGAACAGAGTGGCGATGCTTCCTCACCCGACCCAATTTCGGACGCGGTCGCTGCGGCTAACATCTGCCTGCCACCTTCCGACTCAAGGCTTCACCGCCAATCACAACAGACGGCAACTGCTAGTGGAGAAACCGCGGCAAGTGGCTCCTCACGTCCACCGAGCCCGTTTCTGGATTTTGCGTCGGCTGTCACCTCATTAATGCAACAAGTCAATCTAATGGTGGAAAGAGAACGAAGCCAACGATTTCTTGGTGAGTTCTGAACTTGGATCTGATGTATAAATCCAGGCATCCAAGTCGGCCTCTGGCTGCCTTTTTTCGTCAATGGACGGCGCCATGTTAAATCGGCCATGGAGGACGCCATGTTGAATATTCATAGGAAACAATGACAGTTCAAGATGGTTACCAAACCGACGCGTACTTGACTAGCGTGAAGATTGCTATTAACCCTAGAGAAACCAAATATAATTTAATATATAATCATTTTAATGTGACGTATTTCAGGTCGATCATCAGACGATGTTGACTGGAATTCAATTCTCGCCTATCGCTCTCAACAGGGCCTTCGGAATCGCAGTCGAAGGCGTTTTTTGGCTGCGGCTACGGCGAATATTTTAACCCGCAACATGCATAAATCCGCCCACAGACCCTGCTACCGGTACTTTGGTGGCACACTTCACCCTAATCAAATTCCCCATCCAATTGAGACGCCCCATCCAATCCCAGAAGGCACTAATGTGTCTAACACAGATAGACTGACTGTGGATGATGTTCTGGATAGCACTGATACCCCGAGGTATGCCGGAAATTCCCACAGAGGTGCCACATTCCGCGTATTCAAATTGGTTAGTCCTGTTAGCGACTGGGGCTATTATCCCGTGTCTCGGAGCCCGGCACTGCCAGTGGTGCATGAGACATGGTATCCTCGTTGGAACTCAAGGTGTGAGTGGAACGACGAATCGCCAGCTCCCATTTCGCCCCACTTTGCCCGCCAAACTCGCTCGCCGGACATGGAGGAGTGTTTATCTAGTCCCCTAGTGTCACCAGTGCCAAGTGAGTACTTAGCAGAGCCCCCTGTGATTAACTTCCCGGCTCTGTCACCCTCTCCAACAGCCGAGGTTGAGGAACCCCCGTTACCAAAGTAAAGAATACACGTTTTTACAGTCGACCATTTACCAAATACTCAGCAAGACTTATGAAATACCACAGCAAATGGTGGAGGTCACTACGCTGCCTCGACACCACCACAACGATTGCAGTTTATCGCGGCACGCGTACTTACCGATCCTGCCGAATACAAGTGTGCAAGACGCGAAAAAATTCCTCCAAAACTGCAAATCCTTCCGACTCGAATGAATGAATGCATGCATCAAAGTGACAATGCGGATACCTCAGCGTAATGTTTAGGCCCATATTTTTGGCTTATCAAACAACATTCAGAATACTTTACAATGTTTTTTGCTGAATTGGATAATGTTTTTACCATGCTTTGCTTTTTCTTCAAACTTCAAAGTTTTATCAACACTAGTGCCTAATTTACGCAGCCAAAGTAAGTGCAAATTAATGATAGGAAATTTTCACCAAAATTGATTCTGTTGACACGATATCCGGTAAACACAAAATAGTAAAGAATCGTAGCTTAGTGTCGACTAATGAAGCAGAACTCCTAAGAAGGTAATACATACTAGCAGTATCTTTCGAAAAGTCTAAATTGGCTTTCAAAATAAGGCTCCACTTTTTAGATTTTTTAGTTAATGTCTCTAATTTGATCTTATAATAGTGCAAAATTCCTGGTAGGTTTTACTGTGGTTTATGACAAACAAAGGAAAATTATTCAGCCCTGTGAAAATTATGGAGCAAATGCAGTACTGAAATGTTGTGAACCTAAACCAGAAGGCCACAAATGAGCATCAGCATACACAAGGTGCCAGTTACTTCAACTAAGAATGTAAAGGCATTGTAACTTTTATTTTAAATATCCCAGATAATTTTTGCCAATAAATGAGCATTTCAGCAGTTAAAATAGGATAATTCGTGAGTAATGATGTCTGTTATTCTAAAGAGGAAAACGCAGATGTGAACTGACAATACCATGTCCAGTAGCCCATGCATAAAGAATATTCAAAACCATAAACTTTGATGTATAGCAATAAAATTTTTCGTTGTATCACCGGGAATAAAGAGATCATTAAATGACATGACGCGGTTAACTTAACCTAAAAAACAAAAGGAAATTTAAAGGCTTTTCCATGAAGTATATTTCGAATGATTGAAAAACGTTTTTACTTTAGCTTCGGACATCATTCAAATAAGTTTAATAGCATTTCTTAAGGCGCAGTTTTCTGAAAAATTGTAACCTATTTTACCAATGTAATATCATAAGGAAAGGTCAGTATATGGGTTCAGATATTTGGTACTTGTCACACTCAGTGGAAGCAATTTCCTTTGCAATAAACAATAATTAATTTAGCGAGGTGCAGTTACAATTACGCAAACTCTAAACACCTATAAATGTAAGTGTTCATTTTTATCAATAGACGGCTTTTTATGTCATGATGTTTTAAAGAATTTTCTTATCACTTTAAACTTGATACTTAATTAATAAAATGTAAAAAACTACCCTTTTACCCAACAAAAAGAATAGGGAATATTACATTAAATTTATACAGAAACAGTTTTAACAAAAACGTAACGTGAATTTCATATCTTGTTGATCTGCCTGCAAAAAACTGTTGAGAGTCTGTATCGACTTCAGATCGCTTTGTTGGGTAGTATGAGGTTTGGTTTGATTTTCGCCATTCTAAGTTAACACCTAGTTTTTAGTAAACAGAGATATTTTTTAAATGCTTTTTAATTGTTTGATTGAATCCAATGCTTTTGCCCTCGCGCCAAACAATCCTCTTATTGGTTGGAATCTCACTTTCACTTCTTGCTTCTATTTGCTCCGTTCAGCATGGCCGCGGAGTCGGAAACAAGCTGTGAGTTTGCGTCACCAAAATTCTATGCCCTATGTGGTCTTGGTGGCATTCTTAGCTGTGGCACAACCCACACAGCCATCGTGCCTTTGGATCTTGTAAAGTGTCGCCTTCAGGTCGACAAAGCTAAGTATGGGAACTTGACCCAAGGTTTCCGTGTAACCATCAAAGAAGAGGGACTTCGTGGCCTGGCTCGTGGATGGGCACCCACGTTTTTCGGATACTCCCTACAGGGTCTCGGGAAATTCGGCTTCTATGAAATCTTCAAGCACACGTACTCTGGCATGCTCTCAGAGGTAAAATTTTCTTTGATCTACCGAGCGTGTGTGTAGGAAAACGCATTCCTTTGGAGGACATCAGTCTACTTGGCTGCAAGTGCTAGCGCGGAGTTTTTCGCTGATATAATGCTCTGCCCGATGGAAGCACTGAAGGTGCGTATCCAAACGATGCCTGGCTACGCCAACACCCTGCGCGAGGGTTTCCCGAAAATGCTCGCAGCTGAAGGATTCGCCGGTTTCTACAAGGGCATTGTTCCACTTTGGGGCCGTCAAATACCCTATACTATGATGAAGTTTGCGTGCTTCGAGAGAACAGTCGAGGCACTTTACAAGCACGTAGTACCGAAGCCGCGTTCGGAATGCAGCAAGGCGGAGCAGCTTGTAGTGACTTTTGCTGCCGGTTATATTGGTAATGTCCCTTTTAAAGTTAACGCCATAATCTTTAGCTGGTGTTTTCTGTGCTATTGTGTCTCATCCACCTGATACAATTGTGTCGAAACTGAACAAAGACCCGAACGCCAAACTGGTTGAAGTTGCCAAAAACCTCGGCTTGCGTGGTAAGTACCCTTTTCTTCTGTCTCGCATAACTGCATTTCCCTGGACTTATTTGTGCTTTTACCATTCTAGGCATGTGGACTGGTCTTGGACCTCGTATAATCATGATCGGTACATTAACTGCTCTTCAGTGGTTCATCTACGATGGATTCAAGGTGGCAATGCGTCTTCCTCGTCCACCACCGCCTGTGATGCCAGAGTCACTTAAGGCCAAGCTGGCTGCCCATCAAAATTAGTTTTGTGCTCAGTTACTCTCTCGCTTCAACTTGTGTGCAATGCTTAAGCCATGTGTACAAATTAGTCCTTGTTTTAAGATTATACTGTAGTTGGATTCCGTAAGTGTGTGTGTGTGTGGTTTGATTTCGTTTAGTCGCTATGTGTGCCTTTCTTTGCCATTTTTACTTGCATTGGTTTGTGTCCTTCATTGGATTTAGAGATTTGGATAGCACCAAAACCGCTGTCAATCAGATTCCATATGCTGATGTCAAGGGTGTGGCATCGGCCGTGAATACGTGCAATGGTGGCGGTTTACTGAATGACCTTAGTGATTAGCAAAAACACCATCGGATTTAGCGTGCGCTTGGCTGGTTGGGTGTGTGGCGCTCGTCTGTTTCGATTTAAAGCTTATGTAGCACTTTGACTGGACTAGGTGTGCCATTGGTAGGAAGTTGAGTGAATAATTCGAAGGAGTCTTAATGTCGTTGGTGTGTGTGCTGTCAGAGTGCTTATTTTAAAGCATACGAAGGCGATTGCCTAATTTCATGGTTTTTTTTCTGTGGCCAACGGTCTGTGGTCACGTTCACGTTTCTTTTCTATGAATTATGATTCGGTGCTAGTGGCTAGTAACCCAGTAATAGCTGCGACTTTTAACACTTCGTGTTCTCTTACAGCCTTACGAATCGTAATATATTGGCAAGGCGACATTGTTTACTCAATGTACAAAGCAATTCATGTTTTTCTACACAGGAGAACCCTGGTAATTTGAGTTTAAAGAATCATCCATGGTGAGTCTTGTGGGTTTAATATTCACAGAGGCCATACATAATAGATTCCAAAGTTTTCAGATTCCCGTTAACTCTGTTGGATGTAATCGAACATATCCGAGCTGTCCCACTATTCTACGTTGTAAAAAGGCACGCTATAAGACTGCAATCTGATCGGCCTCAGTAAACGGTGTTAGCTTGGCCGTCTTTGATCTGCTTATCTTGATCGGGCTAATTCGGGTCACTTCGTGTCAAAACGCCTCCCCTTCATCCACTTCAACTAGACAGGGGAAAGGTCGTGACCCGCTTGACACTACTGGACGTGACATTGTCCATGAAACTACTCTTGCTGTAAAACACTCATAGCGATGCAACTTTGGTGCAATTAATGGATTATAATCGGACCCCGCGGGGCTGATACTTCATTCACTGACTCCCTCACTGCTTAACAACACTCGATTGACATTGCAGGAACGATGCGAATTTCCGATGAATGCGACCTGGGTAGTTATTTTCAGGGTAGATTGAAACTTCTGCCAGATGAAGATGATGATAATGGAGGGAATTTATGTGATACGAGCAACCTAACTCCAGAGAACGGCTGATTCTCCTGCAGCATGACTAAAAAGGCGGAAAGCGATGGAGACTAAGCCATTTACTAGATCGCTCACCCAAAGTCACGAGGTCATTGATAGCTGTTTATTGATGGTTAAGTATCGTGACATTTCGGTGTGATTTCGGGGGTGTATTTAAATTGGCGATCAAGCGTCGTGGTTGAACCAGGCATCAGGAAATAAACAAGCACAGAGATTCGGTGACAAAGGGCGCACATCCGTTCACGAAGATTGCGTCGAGGCACACCCATGCTATCGTGATGTGTGATTCGAGGGTGTGAACAGCGAGAAATAATGTCAGCGGTAGGCAATGCCAAGAGGAGTTTACGTGCCAGCAGTGGTGTTTAATCGAATCACCATCGAGATTATCTTCCGCGTATGTGTGAACTCATGACCAAAGCTGCACCAGCGATGGTTTGTGACAGTTTTTGATGGCACTTTGAATTTTAAGCAAACATTTCTTACTGGCAGATGCTTTTCAAAGGAATGCATGAAAATAACATGTAGTGCTTGAGAAAATTGATGCGCCAAACGCAGAAATTGCCGTCAGTAGTGTTACCGTTGCAGACAGATTTTTTTTTCAGGTCCATGCGCCGAGTTTTGGATTTGGTCTTGAGGAGCAGGAAAGCCTTTTACTGTAATGACTCCGACACAGGACTCGAGCTCACAGTCTAGCAAACGATCTCAGATGAGGCACTTGTGCGGGTTGAAAGTGAAGCCTATACCAAAAAATCTAATTGATACTTAAATGTAAAAACTTAAAAAAATCAATATTCGAAGATTCAACCGTGTGGAGACCGAGTCAACGATCGAAGTAGAAGTAAAGGAATAGAGACAAAACTCGGGGCAAGACATGGTCATTGGATGAATAGATGTGGAGCGAATGTGGATCACCAGAATTCGACGACACACCGAGGCACCTACGGCACAATTTCAAGCCCTCGAAGTGATAGTCGACTATGTGGATCCTGTGCGCGTCTGGTGCTCTTCGACGACAGCTTGCTGTGTCACATGAAATCTTCAAGTTCCCCCAATAAGGAGTGTTGTGGGAGTATTTGGAGAGAATCGTGAGAGTGTTTATGCTAACAAGCCGTCTACGTGAAATTGGCTCAAGACACATCGCTAAGAACGAGGAAACCCTTTCCGCTTAATTCTTCACGAGTCGAATTTTGATGTTTTTTGACGTATTTGCCGGTCGCAAGTTGCACGCATAGATAGAACGGCCACATTGTCACGCTCAACGAATCAAGCACGTGTGTGGCTGAGTTGATCTACGTCGGTCATTGCTTTCGCCGCGTCGCGCCGTGTCCTCGCTGCTAGTTTATTTTGACGCTGTCCAGCCAATTGTAGTTTGGTATCTGCTGAAGACGTGTAATCGGTGTCCAGCTGCCACTCCGTTGTGCAGTCCATGAATTCTAGCATCCAATTTCCTCTCTGGGACTTATTTCGGCTCTGAGTTCATTCTCGTTTGAATTGCCGCCTTCTTTGTTGTGCCAGTCTTCTTCATACTAGGGCTCTGGTATTCTACACAACGAAGGCCAGCACGAAGCAGTCAATGAAACTTGTAAGCGAAATAACCCCCTTATTTACATCTAGAGTCTTCAACCCCGGATACTCAACCCAGACATGTTAACCTGAGGTCAGTATGCGAGGCTTTGAGGTCAGATTGAAATGAGAGTGACCGTCTACTTCCATTACGCTATTTTTGTTTGAAAATACGTTCGCTGTTTTAAATTTTGGCGCATTCAGTGAGTTTTATTAGGGTGCCGCATTCATGTTGCATTATTAACGTCACTTCACACCTGTCAATTATACTAGATTGTAATGCAGAGATAACGCAGTTTTTCGTAAATAAATTAATTGTCAGCAGAGTTGGCTGTGTAGTTTTAAGTCTGTGTCAAAGATCTGCTATTTCATGAAAATATTTCGTTGTTGTTTAGTGAAATGTCCAGGATAATTTCAGTGACTAGCAAAATGCCACCTTGAAAGTTGGCAGCTCGTCAGTAAGGTTTGAGATCTTGGAAAAGTTATAGCTTGTTGGAACACAGCCTGTTGAATGCCAAATACCTGACGGAAGCTAGGGATAAATGCACCCAGAAAGCCAGTTTTCAGTTAGACGGTGAAATAACTCACTTAGCGACACTTCTGACGGGTCGAAACTGTAGAGTTGTCAAATCGCGTTTGTAAGCGTGCACTCGCCTGAATTCGTGTTGTTTGAGGTCAGAAAAGAGTATAACGGCTTTGGCTTTGCTGTGTTAGAAGCTAATTAGCCCATGGATAATTGTGTTCTACTGCGTTTCCTGCTCTAGATTTTGACTATGACGTAGAGATCATGGCGTGGGGATCCTAGTTGCATTAATGCTCAAACGGTTCCTTTTGGATAATTGTCTCCGTCGAGTAAGTATTTACCCTCAGTGTTGAAACCCACTCGCAATTTCATGCTTCTTCTAGTCGTTTAAAGTAGAAACTTCGGAAGTGCTAGATAAAGTTTTGAACTCGTTGCACACTCAAGTATTCCGTCTAGTAGCCACCTCCACTACACTCGCCAACAAAGATGGTGACAGATCTGTGTGGGCATAAGTATTTATTCGAGAAGTTGGAAAGGAAGCATCCTTCTGTGAGTGTGCGGGTCTTAATGTGAACAAAATTCTTTGTGAGCAGATTGAGGCAAATCGTTAGACTGTTGGGGATCCAGGATTTCCCAAGATGGCTCATCATCGATTACGTCATTGCTTACACAAATCCCCTAACCACGCCACTCCAGTGGATGAGTCAGCCAAGACACCCTACTGAAAGATCCATCCGTGCTAATCCGCTTTCCTCCACCAGGTCAAGGTCGTGTCTAGCGTCAGACAAGGGATCTGGGCTGCTGGTTATCTGGCTTTGGTTACGAGCAAAGATTAACATAAACAGATCCGTCCGGAGATGTGAATGATACGTGCTATCAGGTCCAAAGCAATCGCGTCGTCGTTCCTAGACAAAGTCTACTGATACGAGTAGGTGATAACGAGGTGATCTAGGCAAGATTTCGAGGCTTGGTTGAAATTGACTACAAACTATCGTCTCGAATGTAGAAAAGGCCTCGGAAAATTGTGAGCCCGCGAGATGAGTTTATAAGGTCTAGAGGAATACATTTCCCCGCATGCTTCCTTTGAAAAAACTCCTTCCTTAACATACTGCTAGGTTGTCAGAAAACAACACCACCAGCCTTCCTGGAAACCGAGATTTCGTCGTCATCACGCAGTTTCCTACGCCGAATGTGTCCATCCAGATAATTCCGTGAAGCGCCAACGCGCTACCAACGGCTTTTCAAAATATGTGACTAACCAGGATAGTTTATCTCTGTGGTCGCCAAATACCCCTCAGTTTGGTGAGGTTTACCTGTTCAGACAAAAATGTAAAGACATTTCGCAGAGTTGTAGAGAAAAGCCTCATTCCAAATTCTGCAAAGCCGAGCAGACGCCTAGCATTTTCGTGGCACTGATTGTGACATTTTTTCGCACCTTTATCTTTACATCCTGTCCTAATTCAGCAAACATCTTAACTGCAATCTGCTTGATAACCTATCTTACATTTGTCACTGTTACACACCAGTTCACGGGACAGAGGCAAGTGGGTTAAAGACCGCTCACTTTGTGT